GGGGGCACCGAGGAGCTGATGTGCAGCCTTAGACGGTTACTAAGGGATAGATAGGTCTGGGGGCACGGAGGAGCTGATGTGCAGCCTTACCCGGCCGCGACGGTTACTAAGGGATGGATAGGTCTGGGGGCACCGAGGAGCTCATGAGGGAAGGAGGTGCGGCTGGGCCAGGGAAAAGATCCTGCACTGAAAATCTGAGTCTAAAAATAACAGGACACAGGTGGGGAGGCGAAAGGAGGGCAGAGCGAAGCGGAGAGACCGAGAAGCCCAGGGATGTGGGCACAAGCTTCACTCTGTTCCTTTCTTCCAGGAGACCAAGACCCTGGCCTCAGGAATTGATGAGACTCCGGTGGGGACCACCACACTCATAGACCTGTGATAGGAAGGGGGAGACGCTGGCTGCCTTTTGTCTCCGAATTGAAAATCCATCATATCCCAAGGCCCAGGCTTTTTGGTGGTCATCTTTGTGTGGCTTGTTCTATGGGCCTAAACCCCTAAGGTCTGTCTGGAGCCTAGATCGGGGACAGCCCTCAAGCAGGTCTGGAGCAGCCAGGATGCTTGTAGCGGTTATCTGGAGAAAGGAGCCAAGGAGGTGGGCTGTGATGGGACAGTTCAGGTTTCAAATAAAAAGGTATTTTGATATTCCTGTGTCTGAGCGAGTTCACGAACCCCCGTGGCGTGCTTCTCCATCAGCATGGGTCAATACCTGCCGCAGTACTGAGTGAGGCGGTGCCCGCTTCCCTCGAGGTGGCTGGACATAGGTTAGGAGCGCAAGAGCGCTTAGCGGGTGCCTATCCCGGTCCAGGATCGCCCCGGCCCTTCCCCCACCCGTTTGGTTCCCCACCACCACCCGCGCTCGTACGTGCGTCGGCGCCTGCAGCTCTTGACTCATCGGGGGCTCCGGGTCACATGCGCCCGCCCGGCTCTCTAGGCGCCGCCCCCTGCCCGCCCCCCGCCCGCGCTGGGAGCCGCAGCCGCCGCCACTCCGGCTCTCTCTGCGCCGCCGCCGTCATCACCGCCACCGCCACCGCCACCGGCTGAGTCTGCAGTCCTCGAGGTGAGGCCCGCATCGGGCCGCATCCCCCTTACTCGCCGCGTCCACTCCCCGCTGTCCTGGGCTTGGCCCGCCGGGCGGGTGACGCTGCATACCTGCCTGTCACCTGCCTTCCCCAGCACCCTCCATCCCGGGCCTTCCCGGACAGCTCCCGGCTTTCTGGCTCTTACCTCCTCCAGGGTGAGGTACCAGCTCTCTGCACCCGCTTCTCTAACTGCACGGTTCCACCCTCGCCTGCCCCTCTCCCCTCGCCGGTCTTCGCCTAGGGTCCTGCCGATTTGTTCCTTAAGTTCGATGTCTCGGCGGGCGGCGCGTGTTTTCCTAGCACGTCCTTTTTGGCTTTGCGTTTGGGGATATACCTTCTCTCGCCCTTCCTTGGCTGCCTCAGACCTGTTCTAGACTCGTCCTTCTGTCCCTCCTTCTCTTTTGACATTTCCTTTTCTCCGATGCATGGGGGAGGGATGAGAGGAGTGGGGAATTTGTCTGCGGGTAGGGAAGACGATGGGTCCAGCCTGGACTACCTCGCCATTCCCCGCTGCAGCACCTAGGGGCTGGAGGCCCCAGGATGCTGTCTCCAGACTCCTCTTGAAAAGAGGAGGAATTCATATTTGGGAGAGAGGTGACGACCCCGGAGTGTTTTATAGGCCCTGTGTGTGGGGGCTGTCAAGTTGGGGCTCCACTTGCCCAGACAACCCCTCTTCTTCCTGTTCCAAGATCCAAAGGGAAAAAAATGCCAGCCTGGCAGCCATCCCGCCTGGGGAAGTCTAGGGGAACCCCACTGGTCGGTGAAGCTGCTGAGGGGCGAAGAATTCTCTGTCCAGCCTTCCTTCCCCTCTTCACTGCGGCGTTCTCCCACCTTGTCATGAGATGTACCCCGCCCCGACTGCAGTGACCTCCCCTTCCTCACTGCGTTGACCTTTCCCTCTCTCCGTGGGGGGAGGGAGAACCCCTTCTCCGAGGCTGACTGCAGCCTGCTCCTCCCCACCCCCTACCCACTGCGGTAACCTCTTTCCCAGCCCTCCCAGCCTCTGGCCCCGCCCACTGGCCCCAGGCTCCGCCCTTCTAAGCCTCTTCTCTTTCTCCTTCCTTCACTTCCACCCAAGGAGATTCCAACCATCATCATGTCTATAGAGAAGATCTGGGCCCGAGAGATCTTGGACTCCCGTGGGAATCCCACCGTGGAAGTGGATCTCTATACTGCCAAAGGTGATGGGCGGGGCATGGGCTTTCCACAGCCCCCACTTCCCCTGTGCTGGGTCTGGCAGGTTTCAGAGATTTTTTTTTTCTTCACACTCAGGGCCCAGGGGGTGCTAGACCAGGTTCCCAGGGCTGGATTGTGGAGTCTGGTCTTCCTTGACCTGTGAAGCCAGGCTAGTGGGTCTGTGTTCTAGTCCAGAGTGAGAAGGGCCCTGCCTCTAGGTCTGTCTGCGTGCCTGTGCGAGCGAGCGAGCACTGGAGCACGCATGCTCTGCCTAGCATAGCTTTGTTTCTGTGGCCTCCCACACGTGCCTGTGAGGCCTCAGATGGGCGGGTGAGGAGGCCTTGCTTGTGCAGCTGACACGGTGTATGTGAGTGTGTGTGAGTCTGTGTCAGGGAACAGTGTGGGGACAAGTCTGGCTGTGGCAGGTGGGAGTTTCGCCGGAAAGGCTCCAAGAATCCTTGGCCCAGAGTTTCTTCTCTCCTTCCTCCTTGAATGTCTTCTTCCAGGTCTCTTCCGGGCTGCAGTCCCCAGTGGAGCCTCCACTGGCATCTATGAGGCCCTGGAGCTAAGAGATGGGGACAAACAGCGCTACTTAGGCAAAGGTGACGGCATCCCTCTCCTAGCACGCCCCAGCCCCTAGATGCCTCCCCGTCCTCTTCTCTCTACCCGCTCCTGGACTGACCAGCCAGCCCTTCTTCCCCTCTCCAGGTGTCCTGAAGGCAGTGGACCACATCAACACCACCATTGCACCAGCCCTCGTCAGCTCAGTGAGGCCCGCTCTTTCCTGGGGGTGGCTGCTAGACCAGAGTCCTAGAAGAAATCTTGGATCCAGGGAGGGACAGGGGGAGGCAGAGAAGCCCGCTCTTTAGGAATTGTGGTTACAAAGGGAAGGGTGGACAAATACTGCTAACAGCCCCTGCAGGCGCTCACGGTCCCTAAAGCTGGCAGAGCAGGCCGCTGTCACAGGGGTCTGGTGGGACCTCGCTCACACGGGAGACTGTGTGTGAATGAGGGGACCCTCCGTCTTAGGGCCCAGCCCCCGTCTTGGCTCTGGGTAATGGGGCTCTGCCCACAGGGTCTCTCTGTGGTGGAGCAAGAGAAACTGGACAACCTGATGCTGGAGTTGGATGGGACCGAGAACAAATGTAAGCAGGGTCTGGGCTAGGAGGAATAGAAAAGCACAAAGACCTGGAGGGGGCGTGCTGGGGATGCAGTGAGTGTCAGAGGACCATCCCTTCCTCGCCCAAAGCCACTGCAGAGGGAGGGAGTGACATGAGACAGACAGACAGGAGTTGGCATGACGTAGTCCGGGGAATGTTTGGGAAGATGTGAGGCCTTCCCTTCCTTGTTACTTCCTCCCCGAACCCCACTATTTGTAGTAGAAAATGAATGAGTCGCTGCTCGGGGTGGGGCATGGGGGGGAGCTCTCGTTTATTGGCTTTTCTAGGGGGTATAGGTGGGGGCGGGGGCTACAGGAAAGAGGGACACTTTCGCTCAGTGCCTTCCTCTGTAATCTCCTAGCCAAGTTTGGGGCCAACGCCATCCTGGGTGTGTCTCTGGCCGTGTGTAAGGCGGGGGCAGCCGAGAGGGATCTGCCCCTCTACCGCCACATTGCTCAGCTGGCTGGGAACTCAGACCTCATCTTGCCTGTGCCGGTGAGCCTAGCCTCCTCGAGGAGGAGGGAGCATGCAACCCGGTGAGGGATGAGGGCAAGAAAGAGAAAGGCTGGGGGGTGTGAGACCTGAGCCTGGCATTTGGGGGACCCCATTGCAGGGGCGGGAGGGAAAGACTCTTTGACTCATCTGTGATTCTCTGACCATCTGTGGCTCCCCAGGCCTTTAATGTGATCAATGGTGGCTCCCATGCTGGGAACAAGTTGGCCATGCAGGAGTTCATGATCCTCCCAGTGGGTGCTGAGAGCTTTCGGGATGCCATGAGACTTGGGGCAGAGGTGTACCACACGCTCAAGGGGGTCATCAAGGACAAGTACGGCAAGGACGCCACTAATGTGGGAGACGAAGGTGGCTTTGCCCCCAACATCCTGGAGAACAGTGAAGGTGAGGCCGGAGCCCTTACTCCAGCTCCGAGTCGCACAGTGGGAAAGGTGGCTGGTACACTTGGGTCCTGAGGGGACGGGTGGAAGGTCCTGGAACTGCTGAAAATCTCAGGGGTACCAGCCTTTAGGGCGGGCTCCAGGGGGCCTTCTGATTTCACACACAGACCTTGGAGATCAGTCTTTTATCTGCCTAGCATAATCTGTTAGCATAGGTCCTCGCTGGAACTGGTCTGGGTAAGGTCTATTTTATCCTATAATGCCACATGCACCATGCTCTAGGAAGGCAGGTACACATCGGTCTCATCCCCTTCCCAGGCTCGCAGAAGGTGTCTAGGATCCCCACAGTCTCTGTGCTGCGGGGGGTGGGAGGGTGGGGACTAACTGTAAAGGGAAGGGTTAAAAGTGAAGATACCAGCTGAAGTACAGCTCGGGGGTAGAGTGTCTGTTCAGCCCGTCTGGGGCCACCACACCACATACAAATGTATGCACATGCATGCACACACATGTAAATGCATGCATACTGACATACAAGTGTACAGAGACTCTGCTCTGGAATCAGATTACTTGCACTTATTTGAACATTGAAGCATTATTGGCTGGAATCCCCAACACTGGGGAGGTTTAGGCATAAGGGTTGCTATGAGCTTGAAACCAGCCTGTGCTACATAAAACCATGCCTAAAAAGAAAGAAAAGAGTCGGGCGGTGATGGCGCACGCCTTTAATCCCAGCACT